GCCTCACCTTTTCCCATTTTGCTTTTTCATTTTTCTATTCTTGATTGGATGAATTTCGTGACGGGCGAAGCCTAACATGATAAGACTACTTGTCTGTAGGCCTTTAAAATTATAATTCTTTTTAGATCAGGTGTATAACCTTTTGAGATTAAATTCGTTTGGTTTCTAAGTCCAGTATTATAATTTCAGTTTGTCGAACTAACTCTATCCAAGCTACAACCTGACATCAAACGAAATATTGTGCTTTAATTTTGTTTATTATATTGCTTTATATTTTGCCCCTAAGAGTAACTTAATCAAATCGCGTCATAGTAAATTCCTACTTCTCTTCACTAAAGGACCTGGTCATTTTCAATCGCAATCGCGAAAAACAAGCAGAATTACATTCGCGACGCATGCGATCCACTGGGGAGTCAGATTACAGCCAGCAGAGCCAACAATCTTCCCAATTCGGCTCCACAATTCTATCAGTTGGCCTAGACTCTGCTACTATGGAGGCTCTTGTTCGTCGCATTCTTGGATGCATCGAAATACCAAAGACTCGAGCCAAAGAGCTCGGTCTGCCCTACACTGGTCTCGAGATTGATGGCGATGCGCTTTTGAATGATGTCGCTTCAGCCAGAATTTCCAAATCAACTCCTCTCAGTGTTTTCGCAGCGCAGGAGCTCGAGTTTGGTCTTCGACAATTTGTAGAAAAGGACATTAAGGATTCGATACATTTGACAACTGAGCAATGTATAACCACCACACTGCAACACCTGCGCCGATCGGGCTGCCAGGAAACTGAAATTATTACCAACGTTTTGGCCTTCGCTTCTGCTCGATCTACCAGTTCTACAGAAATTGAGGAAGATACTGAGTTTAGCATGGATAGAGTAAAATGTATTTTCATTTTTGACGGCTTTAGGGTCAATGAAAAAAATATAAATATGCATATTTATGATCCTCATAGATAAATATATATTACCACTTACTATGAATGGATTGATCCAATGATATATGTTTTAGATAGATGGATGGATTTTATAATAAACAGATGGCTATATCTATGCACCAAACGGGTTTGAATATTGTCTGGTCGGTCCATTGAATAATCAACAAATCTTCTGCTAGAAGATAGACTTCAGAAATGGATGTCAGCAAAGGATTTAATATTGCATACTAAAATCTTCTACACTGTGTATTTAGGCAGAACCCATAGCATTGGACTGTATTTCTTTATTTAAATTATTGTTTTTAAATATAGTTCAGCTAATTGCTAAAATATATACCTGTCCCAAATAAGGCTAAC